ATATCAGATTTAAAAATGCATATACAGACATTTTACAATTATTGTATTTGTCCATTTTATTTTAGAAAATTAATTTTTCAGTTGGTAGCACGCACTCGCGATAGATTTTCTATAGAAACTAGAAACATGCTTATGTATGCAAACATACATACGTTTCTTAGAGCTCGTAGGAGATACAACCCTTTAGTTCGGGTGCACCGTTAACGATTTTGCTGCCTCTTTAGGATGGAAACCGTGGAACCGTGAAAACACCAATTCGTTAGACTAACGAATTTAATATGGGGATGACATTGCCGCGTACCGAGCGTTACGACTTTGCATGACGTTGACATAGCCCAATACCTAGTGCAAGAGGGTTGCCGAAATCATTAGTACACTTAACTTAGCGATTGTGCTAAAGCAAAGATGCCAGCGATTTATCTGCGACTTATAGCGATAAAACTGATGCAAAGGGTTTTGCTCTTTCGCAAGTTGAAATAATACTCATGGTTTTCTAAAACAATAATTTTTTTTTTTAAAAAAGTTCCTTTATCTTAACTTACAAACTATTGACCTTATAATTATATTAAGAGCTGTTATACTTAAAAAAATTCTGTTAAATTATTTAACATTTATTTTATGATTCTTTTTTGTTTTAAGCTGACCAGCGATCGTCCGCCAATCGGACATTGTTGAAGGGCTCATTCAGTTTCTCACTAATGAGCTTCGATGGAGTCCGGTATTGAAGGTGAGGCATCACCTGCAGGATGACCTCTCGCTGGAAGCTGGAGGTCCTGGAACGGATGACGGGTGACGGATAGCCCGAAGGCCTTTGCCAAAGATGTCTAAAAGTGCCCGAGTGTTGCGGGTCGCCTTGCCGTTTCCGATGGCGTGCGACGCACTTCTTGGTGGTGAAGTTCCTTGCGCCAACAGGACTCCCTGGAGTGTTGGCGAGCTAGGCAGTTTGGCCAATATTTATTCACCAGAACTGGTCGGAGTCTCTTCTCGGGAGACAGACGCATAAATCTCTGGCATTTTCGAAAATGGAGACTAGATTCTATCGGGATCGGCTTAGAAATAGGTCTCTTAGAGACACCTCGGGCTGTTAACACGTTGACCACTCGGACTCTTTGGTGGCTGGCCAGGAGAGGTCGTTTGGATTCGACCTAGACGCCAGTCATTAACTGGAAGATTATCTTCTTTAAAAATGACTAGATCGTCCCGTTGTAAGTCTCGCGTTGGACTTTGCCATTTGTTTCTTTTTTGTAGTTCTAAAAGATACTCCTGTTTCCAAGACAGAACTGACAGACAGAATTGTTGTTGCAAGGTCTTCAAGCGCTGCCTGCGGTTGATGATGGACGTGGCGTTTTCCTTGATCTCTGGCTCAGAGGACCCCCGACTAGAAAATAACCGGGAGTCAGAGCTAAGAGATCAGTAGGATCTTCCGACATTGGAGATATCGGTTTTGAATTCAGGCATCCTTTAGTTTTGGATAGGAGCGTGGAGAGCTCTTCGAACGTGTATTTGGAGCTCGATGTACACTTATAAAAAAGAGTTGCGGTGCACTAGGAGGGTTGAAGTGCCAGGACAGGTTCTGGAGATGAAAGAACTTTGGCCGCTCCGACGAAAGTTTTGCCGTTGTCGGAATGCATTTGACTTGGGCACCCTCGTCGTGTCACAAATCTCGAAAATGCCGCTAGGAATTTTTCTGTGGTCAGATCACATGTATCTTCTAGGTGGATGGCTTTGGTGCTGAAGCACACAACGACGCACGCGACCTGTGTAATTTTTAACATCGAAGGTGCCTGCAAAATCGACTCCTGTGTGAGTGAACGGCCGGGAGAATGTGACTCTCTCCACAGGCAAGTCGCCCATGAGCTGAGTTTGCAATTAGTTTTTTTGGATGACGCAGATTTTGCAAGAATGGGTTGTGGATTTGACCAATACCTTGAGCTTTGGAATCCAGTACTGTGATCGTATTAAACGCCTCACGAGCTGGTCGACTCCATGCAAGGATATAAGATGAGTGAAAGCGGTCAAGAGACGCGAAAATGCACTCGTGTATGGCAGTATTATTGGATGCCGTTCATCGTAGCCGAGTGCTATGGCCGTTCTTACGCGACCACATGCTCGAATAATTCCCTTACCATCTAGAAAGGGGTTCAAAATAAGGAGTTTGCTGGAAGTGAGCTGTTTTTTCGTGCTCAATCAAGTGTACTCTGACGAGTCAGGAGTCTGGGTCAAGAGAACGAGTCTTTCTTGTGCACAAGAAATCTCGTTGCTGTCAATTTCAATAGTTGACGGAAGCGACAATCGTTTGCAACACTTGAAGAAGCGATAAATTTATGTCAACACTCGCAGGGCTCGATCGAACTTTAAGAAGCGTTCGAGGAAAGAAAATGAGGGAGCCGTGTTTGCGAGGCTTACTATAACCATTCTGGGCCGTGACACAACAGCTCATTGTTGACTAAAGCTTGTGGTGGGGCACCTTTGCTCGCTAGATCAGCTGGATTGTACTCGGATCGTACATGGGACCATTTATTGGAGTCGGTGGCCTGAGTAATTTTTGCGACTCTGTTTGCTACAAAGGTAGTCCAGGCGCATGGTGGCTTACGAAGCCAGGCTAGCACAATTGTGGAATCTGCCCAATAGACCCAGTTGACTGAGTGCAGCGGATAACTCGGACAGAAATGCTGCTCACAGCTCTAGTCGTGGCAAGGATACCGTGTTGATCGGAACGACCCTGGTTTACGCTGTTAGGAAAGTTACTGAGATGCGAATTTGTATCTCAGTGCGCACGTAAATGGCGGCCCCGTATGCACGCTGCGAAGCGTCACACAACCCGTGGTATTGAATAGTCCCCTGTGGGCGAACCTGCTGGATCGAACAGTTTGGCAATCGGTGAACGGACTCGGCGGATAATGTAGGAGGGCAAAGCTTTGAAAGAACGTAAGCCGAGGTTTCAATATGAACCCTGGGATTTATCGGAGAGCCAATATTAAAATGGCAGAGTTTTTGGGGTTGAGTCGAAATAGATTGATTTAAACCGGAGACCTGTGCGTCGACGGGTTGATATGGAAGTTTAACCCTTTTGAATAACCTCTCCGATATAAAGGTCGCTTCTGACCCAGAGTCGATTAGTGCCCGAGCTGTATATTTTGTGCTTGGATGACAGCCGTGCCGAGGAGAACACCATGTGAGTTTGCGGAAAAGTAGTTTTGAACGTTAGCTTGGGTGGAAGTAGAAGTGGACTGTGTAGACTATTAGTATTGTGGAAGCGGAGGACACCTAGGGTCTGTCACGGTGGAGCAGCGTGATGTGACGTCCCTTGCAAGTGAAACAACTATGTGCGCTAGTGCAATCTTTCAATTGGTGCTGTCTGGCGAAGCAGCTTAAGCACAACTTCTAGTTGTTTAATGACGGAAAGTCTCTCGGGTACGGACATTTGTAGAAAACATGGGCATAGACGCACGGGATGGTTTTCCTTCTGACACAATTTGCAGTGTTTTGACATTGTGGTCAATGTTGCTTCGCAGGTTCTCAGGTGGATGGACTCCTTTTTTGTGGGTTTGGACTGGGTAGATCGTACATCCTCTATCGCCTCTAAGGTGCGATATCGGTCAATCAGAAATGTATTCATTTCGGACCATTGAGGTATCTCTGCCTTATCGTGGAGCGTAAGCTTAGGCAATTTAGAGGAGCACAGAAAAATGAGCAGACAATCCCAATTTTCGGTGCTTAGCTTGGACAAGTCAAGAGCCGTTAAACACCCCTGGATTCTGCCCTGAAGCTCTTTAAGGGCGGCTCCAGACTTTTGTGTTGCTGAGGGGAGATTGAAAAGAATTTTCAATTGACTATTGACTAATAGTCGCTTATTCTCAAATCTCTCCGTCAGGCTCGCCCTGACCGGCGTCAGTCTTGGATTGTGTATATAGACCGCTGTAAACACGTCTCGCAAAGTAGGCCAGCGTAGGTAATCCCCACTGAAAACTTCAGTGTCGCATGACGGGAGACTGCAACCCCTGGACATGGAGAAGTTGGAGGGGGTTGTTCAGCTTGTCTATTTAAGGCAGTGGTTCTTTCTATTTTCTCACTTAGTTGAGCCGCACATCGCTCGTCAACGGAGTATCATATTTGGCTTCCATAGCCACAAGGTCACTGCTGCTGCTAGCGCCTTGGTTGAGAGCTTTAGAACGCAGCTCGTACTCGCGTTCTACCTTTTCCCATAAGGTCTTGATCTGATCTCGTCGGACTTGGAGAGTGAACAGTCCCACGTCATTGATTTTCACTTCAAACTGGCCTAGTCGGTCAGTTATCGAAACGAAGTCGTTCAGTGCCATTTCGCTTGACGTCTGCATCTTTTGCTTAGTCAAACCGGTAATTTTTGGAGTAAGATTTCTTGTTGGAATCGGACTCACAGGCTTGCGGACGGATGTGCTGGTACCCTCGATCTTGAGTTTCCCAATAACCACTCTAGTCGAGTTTCAAGGTCGCTTTGACACCTTATCACCACCAATTGGCATACTAGGCTCTTCACAGCCAAAAATTGTAATAATCGGGTAAGATGTGATCAAATATAAATTATTTGAATCAGCCGAGCGAAAACGGAATGAGAAATGGCACAGAAACGATGGAATCGAGATATCAGAATAAAATTAAAGGACCGAAATGGTGTGCAGTATTGGGTCTAACGAAATCGGAAAATTTTGCTAAGCTAATTATTTAACAAATAATTTTATAAATTGATGCTTATTTAGTTTCTTAATTTGATAAAAAAATGTAATTATTTCTTTATTGAAACACCAGAGAAAATTATAATTATTATTTAACAATTTTTATAAGAATAAAGAAATAATAATGCATATGTATGTATTTTATTAAGTAAACGCAGCTCAATGGCAAAGTGGAAACATAAAAGAAAAAAAAGTGGCTCAGACTCAGTTTATCGAAAACCGATCTTGATATTTTACAACCCTGATTTTTGTTTACTTTCTGCACTTGCCAATTACTTTATAAAAATATATATAAATTGTTCTTGAAGCTGCTGTGGAGAAAAAATAACAAACGATACACATATAATGTGATGTGTGTGTCTGTGTGTATATACATGCGGTGAATTTGCACAGTGTTTCGGTTTTAATTAACTAAATACAAATCGGAATTGTGTGTTTTTTATTTAGGTATGTGATTATTTGGTGAAGTATAGAAGAGGAGAAGAGCATATATATATAGAGGAGAAGAGCATACACTTATTGTTGAACGGAGCGAAAGCCTATGACTGCAGATATGTCTTTATGTACTTGCATACATATGGCGATCGGTTAAATTTTTGGGGTATGCACTTGTACATATATATACATATGTACAGACACCAATATGGCGACTTTTTATTGGAGTCACTTTCCGTTTTATTTCTTTTAATATTTGTCCCTTTTTAGATGCCCTAATGGCCAAGAACAATATTTTATTTGAGGGTTTTTTGTTTGTTTGAATGAAACTGCCCCACGGACAATGTGAAGCAAAAAAATATGTTCAGACATATAAATATTAATAAATAGGACTGGAGTTGCCGAAATTTTAGCAATGGACAAGTTGAGGTAGGTGCACTGCTACTTATCTTGCTTGAATTTGTAGCTGGAAACTTCTATTGCAGATCCACCGATGCTTGTTGGGGCGAACTAGATATAATAGCTGTTCAATTTTTATTCCGGAGTTACATTAGCGGATGGATGGCGACGGCCAGATAAACTTCTTCGCACTTTTCAAATGAAACGAACCGCTTTAATGATGCCTCGTGAAGACAGAAGCGACGAGAAAACGAACGAAAATCAAAATAAAAAGGAAATTACACCAATAACAACAGACGCCGCTCATTGACCTTTAATATGCAAATTGTTGTCTTATTGTTCTATATACAATTTTTGGAACGAAGCATTGGCCATACATTCGTTTTGATCGGCATGCATGACCATTCGCTAACGAATTTACTAACGACCAGTAATGCATAAGACCGTTATTAGTCATCTTTTTCTGGGGCCATCGCATGACCGTTCGTTGGCGAATTACCTAACGAACGGTGATGCATCAAATCGTTAGTATAGGCTTGCTTCTTGACACCAGCAGAACTACAGGGCAGTGTAAAGGGTGCTCATGTGTGCACGCATACATATATGCGGAGCATTGTTTTGGTACGCGCATCGAGCGACGTAATTATTATAATTTTAAAAGAATAAAAATTACGCTTCTTATGTATATTATTATCTACAATTAGAGAGGGAGAAGATGTATGGCAAGACATCTTTGTTAAAATGTCAGCACCCGCCCCGATCAGATGATGCACTTCTGCCCTGGGATACCCGTAAGTATCAATCAGCTTATTCTCACTTGCAATTTGATTTTTTGTAGATGTCACCCAGGTTAACAAGAAAAGTGTCACAGCGACCCAAGGCGACGGCGAGCATAATGAATAGTTGATATTTGTGGTAACATTTTTAACAGACGCGCCTGACCCAGCAAAAGAAATTCTACATTGGCCTCAAGCCGAATGAGTGCGAGTAAGTTATGCTTAGGTCATAATGCCCATAAAGGCTACGTTATTTGGATTGATTCAAAATCTATAAATAATATTCTTTTGTTTGATTTGTTAAACAAATATTTTAGTAAATATAAATATCTTGATTATATTGACTGGTGTAAATCTCTCCATGTTAAATGTGCCTCATATATTCTAACACAAACTTATTATTGTTATCCACATTAATGGAATGAATGAAATAACTTGACGTGGTTAAAGCCGAATTGTAAACGCTAATTTATACATATTTTTAAAATTAATCTTCCAATTTTAATAATGTAAAACATAAGTATAATTAATATATCAATTTTAATATATATTATTATTTTTGAAATTTATTATATAACCACATTAAATGGCTTACATAAATAACTAAATATTCAAACTGATTTTACAACTACATTTCTATTTAATTATTGAAAACAAAATATTGGAAATACAAACAGTATTTTTGGTATTTTAGGTTGATACACCGCCAAATCGAAAATTTCGAATTTCGATATTTTTAATGATTCATCATCGATAGTTAGCAGCCGTCCCCACATCTTGCTATAAAGTTAAGTTCCGCCGCCGGAAATGGAATCTTGAAAAAACTACATGGAATATGTTACGGAACTGCTTGTCATTCAGTGGGCCGCGCCGGCTGGCTCATCTGTTTCTCTGGGTGTAGTGCCATCCCTGGCCCGCAGTCCGCACAGTCGATATCAACAAAACTACAGCGTCTGTAGCAAAACATACCTATACAACACTATTCAACTTCTAACAAGTGAACAACACTAACAGCTGTAACTACAAGCAAATGTAAAAAACAGAGGTGAGACGCTCAATATAAATTAACAAAAAAACACTATTTATCCACTTTACTCTTCCAGATCGGGTGCCGGTTCCGGACCCAGCGTACCCGCCCTACCTGAGACGATCGCCTGATCTTGTCTCCCACATTTTGGCCACTAGATGGCCTGCATCAGCCCGTGTCGGCTGTTATGCCCCCATCAATTGAGACTTAGCCGGACATTTCTCTCTTCAGTAGGTGCGTATAATTGGTTGCATTCCTTATAATTATTAACAATTAATGTTTCTTATTTCTTTCTATTTTATAAGGTATCTCCATTCAGTTATTTACGTTATCATGCACTTGAACATTTCTTCACCAGGTGACTATTATTGTTGCATATACTTATGATTATAGACAATGTGGATTAATGTCTAAAATTTCATTTATCTTACAGAATGCATTCTCATTTAACAACATTAAATGGAACAGGTGACGAAATACTGCCTCTGTTACCTTGCCATATGGTGTATGACATATGTATAAGCTGGTATCGCTCGTGCAAAATATATCTTTGCCGGAGCCGGGGGTCGTTTTTATTTATTAAGTGTCTTAGGGTTTTTATGTGTTCATCACTTGTCGCGCTTAAGTTGTAAGTCTTTCTAATTTTTGTATATTTTGACACAATGTTTAAATTTAGATTTTTTTAAAAAAAAAAATATCTTACGGTTTAATTTTAAATTGCGGAAAACTTTTCTAGAGAAAAGAAACTTTTCTTTAAGATCGCTTCGACCTGGCACGCCCGCCGTTGACCGTTGATCAAATCGAACTCCATACTGTACATTTGGGCAGCAACATCGGTGCCGAATTTCGGCACACGCATACATTTACGCGGCGGGCAACGTTGCCCACCAGCACAGCTGCATTATTTTGGGTCAACGGCTCAAATGAAGGCCAAGGGCATATTCAAGGGCAGGCGATCCGCTCTCCTTATAGTCTCTTTAAGAGCGAATCGGGTGGACAACAGCAATCACCCCTTTTGGCGCCGTAGATAGCAAGCCCGGCGTTGCCACCCTTCAATAATTTGGGCTCCGCTGTGGGCCCAGCTTCACCGACGAAACTCTGACCCAATGACAAAAAGATATCGGCGTGGCCGGTAATATCGTACGCAACCAACTAAGCAAACAATCGATGCTGCCGATAACGTCAAATGCAACATCACCACACAGATTATTGTAAACGCGAGCCCGACCGTTACAATAGAATCCGCGTGCGCATTTCCTATACTGTTTCGCCCAGCCGGCTAATTAGAATGCCCAACGTAGGCCACACCCACGACCCTGATCTACACCCATATGTCCTTCGCATGGAACACTCCTAGGGGCTCCCCTTTTAAGTCTTCCAGCAGGTACGAGTTGTTGCCTACTCGACGCACAACTCTGGCCTTAAGGAACGTTGTACTGCCGATGACTTCTTTCGTAAGCCTAGTGTAGTTGGCTTTGGACTCGCTGTCTAATCAGGCGTATTTTGTCTGCTGGGTACATGAGAAATCTCATGATCACCCAGAGACCCTAACCTACGAGCCAATTTGTAGCATGCCACATTTAGGAACATATGATGTCCGATGTCGCTGTGTGTATGGCATTGCGTATTGACACCTCTATTTCCGGAAGGTAGAGGTCCCACTCGCGGTGATTTTGCTCTAGATACGACCGGATCTCCGACAACACGGTACGATTAACTCGCTCGCTTTCATTGCAGTGCGCATGTGCGAGATGCCCAAAGCTGAAATCATGTTTTGGAATGTTGATATGATCTGTTGTTCGTTGTCAGAGTGGATGACCTCGGGTACTCCAAACTTATAGAAAACCTCGCTGACCAAAAAATCCACTACGTTAAGAGCTGTAGCCTCTCGCATTGCTTTCAACAAAGTGAATTTTGAAAAATGGTCGACTACCACGAAGATCCAAGCGTGCCCTTGCTTCGAACGTGGGTATTTTCTCAGGAAGTCAGTGTACAGTTTTTGGAATGGTCGCTCGGTCACTACCTCTTTTCCTAGATCCACTTGCATGCGAAAGTTCGGCGCCTTGACTTCCTTGCATGACACGCACTGTCTGTGGCCGTGGTCAGGGCGGACTTCAACAGTTCAACGGCTTGTGTTGCCTCGTCACTTAATACAAACTTTCCGCTATTTTTTTTTAACATTTCGGTCAGGGGTGCGGCCATAGTCGCGAAATCTCGCATAAAGCGCCGGTACCAACCTGCTGTACGCAAAAATGAGCGAACTTCTCTGCGCTACCGAGGCACGGGGATTCGTTTAATAGCTATAACCCGATCGGGGTCCATGCGAAGCGTGCCTCAACCAATAATGAATCCTAGGTATTTCAATGCCTTGAAGAAAAATTTTGATTTGTGTAGTCCGATTGAGAGGTTCGCTTGTCGCAAATATTTCAAGTGCGTTGAAAAATCTGGGGAAATAACTTATAAATCTTCCAAGTACACAAAGACGTTGGTCCGTAGCTCGTTGGGAATTACATTGTCCATCAGACGAACCAGACGTTGGGCTGCATTGCATAAACCAAATGGCATAACGCGAAACTGGTATAGTGGCGTTCCTGGTACGGTCTAGTTCGACCTGCCAATATGCGATCTTCAGATCCATCTATTCTAGATAGGAAACATTTTATACATCGTAGTGGATACGCGTCTTTCATCGTCAAATTGTTGAGCTTGCATGCATCGAGGTAAAAACGGTTTTTCCCCGGTCTTCGCACTACTGTTGTGCGGTTACTCCATGGGCTGTTGCACTCTTCTAGAACCCCCAAACTCAACATTTTGTCCCCTTCTGTATCCACTACTTTCTGCATCGCTGGCGATAATGGGGAGGGTCTATCTTTGAACGGTTGGGCACCTTCCACTAAGTCGATAGTGTGCTTCTCTAAGTCCGTTGTCCCTAATCCGCTACATTCAAAATACAAAAACTCCTGCTTTAACGCCTCTAATTCTATCCTTTGTTCCCTAGACAATTCCCAGGATGCCGGCTCACCTTCGAATTCTTCCTCTTCTTCCTTATAATGCGTCATCGACACGGCCAAGAGTTCTTCCCCTTGGTGTTCCGTGGAGATTAGCTTCTCGGGGCCCCAAATGTCAATGGCCAGATTAAATGCTCGCCAGAAATCGATCCCAAAATAGGCCCGCTGCTTAAGGTACGGGCAGATAAAAAACGTTATTTTGGTATGCTGCCCCCTGTACGAGATTGTGAGTTCTACCCTACCTATGATCGATTTATCCTCTCCTCCAGCAGTTGTGACTACTGAAACGTAAGATTGCACCGTAACCCCTAATTCTTCTTCTAATTCTTGACATATTTTTCACAGCAGACTGACCGAGGCTCCTGTATCTAACAAACCTTTCATTTGGATCCCCGCGACCTCCACTTCAGCGAATACGCGAGTGTCTAGGCTATCCTCCCGGTTCACAGCTTCAATGACCTGGTGCCTCGACATCCTACGTCTGCGGAAGCGCGCTCAAGCCTTCACCATTCTTCGGGTTGCCACTGTCATCCCCTCCAGCTATCGCTCACCAAAAATTTTATTTCGGGCCAACATGTAAGTTATCACCCAGCCCGCAAGGCAATTTTTATTTCAATCATAAACAACATTTCGGTATTAGTCGCTATCCCAATTACTTAGTCCTTTCAGACTTATTAGACCTATTTCAACATATAATCCAGACTCCCGGCTCTAACAAACATAACAGCGCAACCACTTAAGATAAAGATCCATATTCTCATGCGCAATTCATAACGTAAACTAAAGATTCATATTCTCATGCGCAATTCATAACGTAAAAATGACTCCAAGATTCTAGCTCACGCAAGCCGCCCCCGCGAGTTTTTAAACTTTAAGGAAAGAAGCTTTATCATAAACACAACTGATTCGCAGCATAAGATCACACAAGATACTTTAGTTCTGATCTTGGATTCAATTTTGTTAGTCAGGAAATAAATAGGATGTCAAATGAAAATATAATAGGGCCCAGCAGAAGTCCTTATAATGATCCGGTATGGGAAGTAGGGAAAAAAAGTTTTAATGAAGATAGAACGCCTAAGAATCGATTGGTAATAGATTTTAAAAAACTGAATAACGATACAATCCCCGATAGTATCAAAAGCCTGATCCTTCAGTCATTCTATCCAACATAAGCAAAGCTAGAATGATTTCGACAATTGATTTAGAATTTGGATTTCATCAGATTCTAATGAAAGAAGAAGACAAGAAGACAGAAAAAACAGCTTTTTCCTTTAACAATGGAAAATATGAATTTCTTCGTTTGCCATTTGGGCTTGCGAACGCGCCAAGCATCTTTCAGAGAGCAATGGACAATATATTACGTGAAAAAATCGGAAAAACTTGTCACATTTATATGGACGACGTAATAGTTTTTTCAAAAGCTCCGGAACAACGTTTTGATGATTTACAAGAAATCATTGAAATTCTATTCAAAGCAAACATGAAAATATCCTTGGAAAAATCAAAATTCTTTAGAAAAGAAATAGAATTTTTAGGATACATAGTATCATACAATATCATTAAAACTGATCCGAAAAAAAAATACAATCATCAATTACGAGGTTTTCTTGGCTTAACAGGCTACTACAGGAAGTTTGTAAAAAATTACGCGACTATAGCAAAGCCACTCACCAAATTATTACAGGGACATAACGGTATGATTTCAAAACATATGTCTAAAAAAACCGAAATATCTCTAAACGAAGAAACAATCTCTGCGTTTGAAAACTTAAAATCACACCTGAGTGCAAACATCGAACTAACTCAGCCAGATTATACAAAAAAGTTCTTCCTCACCACAGACGCTTTCGACATCGCCAAAGGCGCCGTCCTTTCACAGGAAAACAAACCAATCACCTTTGTTTCAAAAACCTTAAATAAAACTGAAAGAAATTACGCCACAAATGAAAGGGAACTATACGCCATTGTATAGGCATTAAAAAGCCTAAGGAGCTACTTGTATGGTGTTACAAATTTAGAAATCCAAACAGACCATCAACCACTTTCTTTTGCAGTTTCTGCACGAAACCCTAATTCAGAAATGAAAAGATGGCACGCTTTCATAGAAAAATTTACCCTAAAATATTTTACAAACCAGGATCTACCAACGTCATCTCTGACGCGTTATCAAGGGTAATGATCAATCACATTTCCAATGAAAGTAATCTCGTGTCCGAAGAAGAACCGTCGTCCGATAATGAAACTATCCACTCAGCCGACAGTAGTTATAAAAACGTAATTGAAGAAACACACAAGCCATTGAACCAATTTAAACAACAATTACTTGTTTCTAAAAACAACATAACAATTCACGAAAAATATGAAGTTTTCAACAAAACACGACATATTATAGAATACGACAGTACACAACTTAATAATCATACTTAAAGAATTTCGTCAACCAAACCTAACTACAGGATTTCATTGCAGTCTCGAAGATTTACACGAAAT